AGAATAGTAAAGATTTATATCACAGAAATGGCTATCTGTGTGTGTGTGCATGTGTGTGTGTTTGGGTTTTAAAAAAAACAGTATCTGTAGTAAAATATATGGATATATTTTGTATTTCTGCTTCAACAAAAAAGATGACATGGCTGAAGTTATGGCATTATGTGCCACCTTTTAATTTGAGGTCCATTGTCTATCATGTTTATTACTCAATAAACTTCATTACATCACCTCTACATATATTATATGCATATATAGATAGATATCTTTAAATTTTCACCTTAGTTATGTAACAACTTAGATGAATATTTTAAAACATGCATGTGTAAACATTATATATAAACCATATATTGTAAAGAATAACTGTATTTTCAGTGAATTGTAAACTAGTGCTATTTCCAAGTGGTTTAAAGTCATCTGTAATCTGGTTGAATTACTCCTTGCAGTTTGCTGACAGCAATCTATAATTCCATAAATGTACATTGCAATGATTAAACTGAAGATAGTTATATAGGTCTCTTTAGTAATACTGTATGTGAAATACATGTCAAGTGTGTGTATGAACCACTAGGGCATAAGAGTAGTTAAATGCTCGTGAAATGGACTGACAGGTAATTCAAAAACTGTCATCCTGGTTTGCCAGAGGTACCTTCTGTGAAGGGTAGTTGTGGGAACTATTAAGACTGCAAAATTTCATTTTTTAATGGATATGTTCACCTAACGGATATGTTCACGGATAAATTTTTACTTGACCATAACATGCCCTCAAAAAAATGGCAGTGTTTGACATGCATAGGATGCACATACTAAACATATTGCACTAAAGGGACAAGAGTGAAATATTAATACAGTCACTTGTTGATACTCTATATAACTATTCGTTTTATTTATCCGACCACTTTTCTTCTTATGCCAACAGTTTTTATGGCCATATATATCTGTGGCATAAAATCAAGTCACATATGACTAGAGAAAGTGTTGAATAATCCGGCATACAATTAAGATGCTACCTTATTGCTCACAGCTTTGAAGAGCTTTTTGAAAAACCAGATTAGTTATGATTACAATTTCTGTTTTGTAATAAGCAAACAGCTATGGCTTGAGATTAATTATCTGCTTTCACTCTATATGAACTAATTGTTTGATATTTACATAAAATATCAAACTATAAAAAACGATATATACTAATTGTTTGATATTTACATAAAAAGGAAATTAAGGGAAGTAATTAGTTAGCCCCTCAAGTTTTCGAAGAGGTCCTCTTCTGATGGTCTGTTCTTTTAATTGCGCAGATATCTATCTCATAGCCACGTGAAGCTTAATTTAGAGCTGAACACCTGATGTTTCAGCTGCGAGCAGCCTGAGGTTGAATTGCTTATTACAGTCAGGACATATCCCGTCACTTGTATTGACATAACTTGTCATTTAACTTTCCAGGTCTTGTGTTATGATTTAATTCAAAATTCATTAGTGTATTTATAGGGAAATGGTAATTATGTATACCAAACGGAGATTGAGTATATAGAATTACACAGAATTACATTAATTATACAGCACGTCGACAGGCCATTTGGTCCAACTAATCCATGTCACTCTTTATACTCCCTATGAGCTTCCACCTTTCTTAATTCATAGTGTGCACAATTTGGGTATAAATGCAAATTATTCTTGGGGTTCATACATTTTGTGACCTGCTCAATTTCTCAATGCGATGTACATTTCAGTTCCATTTGTCAATGACAAAATCACTCAATGTTATATTGGTCAATATTTCATAAAATTCAGAGATTAAATACATTTCCCTGGACTCAAATGTGTGCTTCATTTCACAAAGTGCATTATTCAAGCTGTTCTTATTAAAAGCTTAATCTTTACCATTTTGAAATTCAGAATTTTTAAATTGCATTTTATAGTCAGATTTATGTTGCCCTCGTGCTTTACAGTGAACTGCTCCACTTTGTTGCTGACCTGTGACATGAGAAGTTGAACAGTTTCCTATAAAAAGCTTGGTTACCATTGACAGTGACAGAGTGGGAGAAACAATAACAGGTTATACATAGTAATTAGTGGGAGAATGGGCTCCTTGTATTTCAGATGTAGGGCATTCTGGTAAATGCTTAAATACAGACTTTGCTGAACTTTACTGTGGTAAATGCTAATGCAGGATATGAATCATCAGCCTTAACACTTTGAATGTGTTCCTCACAATAATTAATTTATGATCAGTAGCAAAGTGGAACTGCTTATTTTGTTGAGCAGGCAACAACTTCATTTTCCACAGTAAAATCTGTGATACAGGTAAGGGCCTTAGTCAACCTTAATCGTAGGGAGCAATATGAAGTATACTACTAGCAGGAAAGGGAAAACTACATCATAATAATAATCCTTGGTTTTGATATCGTGCCTTATCACGTCTGTGAGACCTCTCAAAGTGCTTCACAAAAGATACTGTAAAGTGAATTGACATAAGATGGAAGTGCACATTGTCCATTAATCAGCTTTGATTTCATTTACTATGCGGGTGTGGGTGGGCGTGGTCAGCCGGCTATCCAACGCATAGAATGGAATAAGCTTCTCTTCTCACAATGATTAATTTATGATCTGCAGCCAAGTGAAGCTGTTTAGTTTGTCAGGAGCAACTTCAGTTTCAACAATTAAATGTATAATGTAGGCAAAGGCATTGAACACATTTTAACATAGGGAGTGATGTGAACACAATAATTTACAAGATAATTGATGATTCTTGTGAAGCATACACAAAGCAGCCTTTGAAAAGATTTGAGATATTCTCCTGACCTGAAAAGTGGTATATCAAATGCAAGGATTATTTATTATTAAACTGTCTTCATTTTGTTGCCTTCTGCTCCAGAAATTCCTGTCATATTTCAACCTAAGTGATTTTAATAAGGAGTCAATTAAACAAGGCATTGAAAAAAAATTGTCCAACACATTAAGAGGAAGGGTATTAGCAGATAGGTAGACAGCAGAGAAGTGGGATTAGGATGAGTTACTTTAGGAGGAGCAAACACTGTCACAAAAAATGCGCCCAATGGCCATCTACTGTACTGAACGTTTCTATGGATCTAATTATCCCACCTAAAGACTTTCCTTTCTGGTCGTGCTTACAGTCACCTCCCCCCCTCTCCCCCTGGCTCGGGGTCAGACTACGCCACTGTCAAGCAGTCCGGGACGCTGCCCCACATGAGGGATGCTATATAAATACAAATTGTTGTTGTTGTTGTTGTTTTTAAAACTTCCCCCATTTTTTACACACAAGAGAGAAAATCTACCTATATTGTTATTTACTCTGCTTGAGCATTCTAAGAAACACCGTTGCATTTGGTATATTGACAAGAGTAAATACATGGCTGCACTGTAGGTGTTGTGGGACAGAGGGCAGATTATGGATTGAGTACAGTGCAATCTGTCTGTAATCTGACTAAAATCCCAAGGCGCCCACTGAATACACCAAGATTTATATACTGTGTATTTTGCCCACCGGGTATGTTTATAAGCGTGATATACAAGTTTAAAGTGATCAGAATTATTTTGTTGAGAAAGTGTTGTTATGGTAGCGGAGCATGTACACCTACATTTTCTTCTCTAAGCAAAACCCGTGGGTAAAAGTTACTATTTTACGACGTGTTAACACTTGTGCTAATAAATACTAGTAATCAATTGGGTAGAGAAATCACAATATGTCCAACCTTCTGACAGACTATTATAGGTGGGGCAAACATCCTTCTCAAATGACTGTGCCAGACAAACCAATCAGGCAATGTGTTGAACTTCCAGCTTGCAGAAGATGGCAATGGACCTCTATCTTACCTCAACAAAAAAAAGTCAGTGCAAATCCAGAATTCTGTTTACTGGCATTCCAAGATATAAAGGGATGCACCAATGCCCAGCATGACTAGCTGATCCATCAGGCACAGCTATAGGGATGGGTATGGAGGAGAATTCATTTCCAGCACACTTGGGAACCACTAAATTAGTTAATTATCATAATGTTGATGAATTTATTATGTTTTACTTAGCACAGTAATGAGCAAGTTTGTGTTAATTGATGCATACACAGCATTGCAAAATGCATCATTCGTGACATTTGTTCTTTGTCTCTGAAAAGGAGTCCATCATCCTTCTGACGTGTAACCAAAAACACTTCGCAGTCTGTTCTTTTGATCAATTTTTACTGCAATGCTGAATTCCTATGATTTTAGTTTAGATCCTCAGATTTGGTATCACCATTGTTCTGACATTGGTAGTACCCACAGAATGGAGTACAACCAATGTCAGAACAATGGTGATCTTTTATTGGCCTACAAAGTACAGTCATTACACATAACAGGATGTGAAGCGCTTTGAGACATCTCGACGTGAAATGCGCTATATCAAATACAAGGATTATTATTATTATTATCACAGCTCTACACAAGCATGCAGTATGAGTCGAATTAGTGATTAAAGAATAATGGGTTGTGGAATATGATCAAGCGCATGGATCTAAGCAAGTACGTAAACATTATGTCCTTTAGGTTTAATAAGTTACGCTTTCTCACAGCACTGAATAGAATGTTCTTTGTATCGCTATTGGTAATTGTGCATTTATGTTAAAGAACAGAAGATTACCGGTTAAAGTGTTTTAATTGCGTGGTAGGAGATCCGTTATAATCCAGAGTTAGTGTTGCAACCAAGAGATGTACAAGATCATGGAGTGTGAATATTCTGTATGTGGAAAGAAACAGTTCAAAAATGTAATTCTTTAGATTTGCTAATAGAAATGAATTAATTCATCTGCAAAAGGATGCTGTGCCTTTACTGGTGTATCCTCCTATGTGGAGAGAGTTGCAACACCAAAGGAAGAGATAACTTTGATTTCTAATGTGTTGCAGTGGGCAAACTGAGCTGTGGATGTTGCTGTCGCTATTGATACAGAGTATTTGATACATTCTACTTGTACCTTAAATCTCTCTTCTTCTCTTCTATTTCCAACAGAGAGCCCTGCTAATCTTACCTGCAGAGCCTTTTTTGGCTATGGCGGAGAAGTCAGTCCTATTATTTATTGGATGAAGGGGGAGAAGTTTATTGAAGATCTTGATGATAATCATGTTAGAGAAAGTGAAATGAGGTAATTACAACTTTCATGTATTTAGTAGTTAAACATTGAAGCATTCATTATTCCTGCAGTACTGAGTTGGCAGGAAGATGATAAATGGTGCCGAACACTGTTGACATGACCAAATTACATTGCAATGACACCATTACAACCACAACAAAAACTTGCATTTATATAGCACCCTTAACGCTATAAGTGTTCTGGAACTACCCCACGCTTGACCGTGGCAGAGGTTGACCCAGGGCCAGGGGGAGAGGGAGGTGACTACAATAATGATCAAAGAGGAAGTTCTTAGGTGGGATTTGAAAATGGGGAGGGAGGGGTCAAGGCAAAGGGATTGAGGGGGAGATTTACAGAGTTTCGGGGCATAGTGGCTGAAGGCACGGCCACCGACGGTGGAACAGAGGGAACGAGGGACGAACAGAGTTGCACCCAGCTGAGCGGAGGCAGTGGATGGGGAGGAGGTGCGAGGGCATGAAGTGATTTGAAAATGAGTGAGAGGATCTCAAAATCGATCTGTCGGTAATTGGAAGCCAGTGGAGCCTGGCAATGACTGGTGTGATGGGGGTACAGAGTTTTGTGGACAAAGGTGTGGACGAGGGCTTCAGCCATGGATGAATAAATTAAGACTCCTGGCTTGCTAGTACACTTACATAATACAAACTGAAGAAAGGCACACTCCACAAGGAGATATACCAATAACTGAACAAATGGCATTAACCTCATTCTGTTCATATCATGAAACTCAGAGCCAAATGATGGCTGATAAAAGTTTGATGAGATGAAACTGCAACATGTCATAAGTCCAACTTTTTTGAGTTGGACATACTGCAAAACAAAATACACTTTAATTTGGAGATTATGGAGAGTATAGAACAGATTTAATAATCAGTTGGATTTTTTTTCTATTTAGTAACTGATTTTTGGGGTACCTTTTTAATTTTAAAAATATATTTTGAAAGAGAAGAAAATCATAACTTTTTCTTCATAAAATCATGTTAAGTGAGACAATGTTTTCATGAGAAACTTTTTTGGCAAAATATTTTTGGGAAAGAAGGAACTACAGGCGAAATAATTTTTTGGCAGTCATTGCAAGTTGTCTGTCAGTAAACTCTATATTAGTGTTTAAATCAGGCTGCCTGTTCCCAGTCACTTTGCTTCATCACTTCCAACAGTATTGAAGGTACATTGCTATATGCAAATGTTTACCTCACTCGCCTACAAAATACATAGACACCACATTTTACAGCAAATCTTGTGAAGGGCTTTGAGACATTCTCTCTTAAAAGGTGTTATATCTTAAAAAGATTTGGTGATGGGAAGACTGTAAGGGTGAGAGTTCCGGAAGAATGAAATCAGTTGGGGTGAAGGTTTGCTTCATCCAAACTATGCTTGTGAAATATAAGGATTATTTTCAATTAAAACAACAACAACAAAATTACATTTATAGACCACCGGGAGGATGTCCCAAAGCGCTGAACAGTCAGGTGTCGGGGCCCGAGCATGAGGGAGGGGTGGTGTACGGTGAGGGAAGGCAGAGGTGGGAGGGAGACCAAAGACACGGTCGAAGAGAAAGGTCTTGAGACCGACCTTGAAGGAGGCAAGGGAGGAAGGAAGCAAGGCAAAGGGATCGTGGGATGGAGTTCCAGAGTGTGGGGGCAGAGAGGCTGAAAGCCCGGCCACCGATGGTAGGGCGGGTCAGGCGGGAGACATGGAGCAGGCCAGATATCACATTTGAACCTGTCAGTGAAACACAGTAACATTTGATTAATCAAGAAGTTACCCAAACACTTTTGAAAAAATCTAATGTCATTTTTTCTTGGATCTCCACTATACAAAGTAGTGGTTTGCCCCCAGTGGTCACAGTGGGTAAGCATATATTAATTAGCTTTTTTATTCTTTCACCAGAATTCTCAGGGAGCATCTTGGGGAACAAGAAGTCTCCATATCTCTGTTAATTGACTCAGTGCAAGAAGGAGACCTGGGAAACTATTCGTGTTATGTTGAAAATGGAAATGGTCGGCGACATGGAAGTATTCTTCTTCAGAAGCGAGGTAAGCAGTTAAAGCGACAATCCTTTGAAACGTTCTCAGTTCTTTTCAAGATTACAAGCTGTTTTTGAAACAATTTACCTGAAAAAGAACAGCATTAATAATAATCCCATGTACTTTAAGAAAGCCTTAAATTATAAACCAGGACACTTTATTCAGGGGCTCAGCAGATCATCTTTGACCTGTTAGTGGTGTCTCATGGGACTGGGCTATATGGATAAGAGAGCTGATTGAGCAGCTAAAAAGTGTAGATATGATATTCTGACTTGGGCGGGTGAGGAGGGGTGGACCCTAAAATTAACGGAAGTCATGAAATGTACCATATGTCTAAACTTATTATTATATTTGGAGGTTCACAAAACTGGATGTCTAAAACCGTTTGTATTCTAATTAAAGATTGCAATAGGTCAAAGTGCCTCTGAAACCAGATCAGTGGAATCCCTTGAGATGTGCTTCCATTATGGATCCACTTGTCAAAGTCACAAACGATGTCCTCTCTATCTGTAACCAGAGCTCCGTCTGCCTCCTCGACCTCCTAGATCTCTCTGCCGTGTTCAATCTAGTTGGCCATGCCATCCTCCTCCACTGCCTCTCCTCCCGCATCCACCTTAGTGGGACCAGACTTGCATGGTTCGAGTCCTACTTAACCAACTGCCTCCACTTCATCTCGGCAAATGGTTTCTCCTCCCGTCACCTGCGGGGTACCCCAGGGTTCCATCTTTGGCCCTCTTCCACAACTATATGCACCCTCTGGGCAATGTCATCCGCAGACACGGGGTAAACTTCCACGTGTATGCGGCTGACACACAAATCTACTTTCCCTCCTCCAGGTCCACCGATGTTCTATCAGCTTGTCTGGCTGACACACTGACACATCAATGCCTTCACTCTTGTCGATCTGAACTCCTCAAGCTCCCTGGGCGCTCCCTCAGACTCACCAAACCAGTGCGCAATCTAGGCATCCGGTTTGACCCGCAGCTGTCCTGCCTTCTCCACATCTGGTCCCTGACCAGGACCGCCTTCCTCCAACTCTGGCACATTGCCCGCCTCCGACCGTACCTTACCCCAAATGCAGCAGAAACCCTCGTACATGCATTTGTCACCTCCTGCCTGGATTATTCAAACACACTCCTCACTGGTCTCCCCAGCTCAACTATTTTAAAAAAAATAAATAATAATAATAATAATAATCCTTGCATTTGATATAGCGCTTTTCACGTCGGGAGGACGTCCCAAAGCGCTTCACAGAACACACTGTAAAGTGAATTGACTGTATATTTGTGGGCGAACGCGGCAGCCAATTGCGCACAGCAATGTCCCACAAACAGTCGTAGATTGAAAATGACCAATTTATTATTGTTTTTGGTTTTGGAGGGATTATTATTAGGCTCTGTGTGGAGTAAGGAAACTTGCCCAAGGTTTCGCCCTCATGCAGCTCATTCAGAACTCTGCTGCCCGCATATTGATCTGGACCAAACTCCATATCCACATCTCACCAGTTCTGGCCAGGCTCCACTGGCTCCCCATCACTGAACGGATTGACTTCAAGATCCTCACAGTTGTGTTTAAATTCATTCACTCTCTGGCACCTCCCTACCTCTCTGACCAACTCACTCCCCAATCCACCACCCGGTGTCTACATTCGACTGGCACCATCCTCCTACTAGTCCCTCGCACCCTCCACTCCAACATTGCAGGTCTACACCCCGAAATTCTGGAACACTCTCCCTTAATCCCTCCGCCTTGCCCCTTCTCTCCCCTTTTTTAAGTCCTGCCTGAAAATCTTCCTTTTCGACTGTGCTTACGGTCACCTCCCCAGCTCGGAGTCAGGCTCCGACACTGTTAAGTGCTCTGAGATGCTATCCTGCATGGAGGGCACAATATAAGTGCAAGTTGTTGTTGCTGTTTTTAGTGTCCCAAGGCACTTTATCACTTAGATTGTATATTTGGTCATGCAGTACATTGGCACAGAATCTTCAGGTGCATAGTCTCAGTATAGTTGCAAATAGTTATCACACCTCATGGAATATTAAGTAAGATCATAGTACTGCATACCAAAGTCTTCAATGATGTGTTGAGTTTCCCTGCTCCAGTGAAAATGTTTATTATTGCCTATAAAGATATGCTGCATTTCATGTAGAGGCAGACTGAACCCTACCCTACCAGTTCTGTCCAGCCGTGCATAAGGCTGCACAAGTAGGTAGCAATGCCTCAGACCTCTATTGTATTTAATAAAAATAAAATATGATATCTCCCAATGAAATTGTCTTACCACAGTAACCGTAATGAAAAGGGCCAATTGTATGGAAAAGCGTTCCGTAAATTGACTAACAACCGGGTTCCTACTTACTGCTATGTAAACTGAGGCGTGTGGAGTAAGGAAACTTGCTCAACATTTCACCCTGTCTTTTGCTGAAACAAAATAATTCTTCCTATCCCTGCAAGAATGGGTAATGATATTTTATTGAGAAGTCATTACTTCAGTTCTGGCTGAAATGTGATCAGGGGTAATGGGTGAATGTATAACATAACTGAGCCAATGCTAAATACATACATTACTTGCATCTCCATTTGAAAGTTCCAACTTCCCCTTCCCCCATAGCAGTGAATAAAGCTGCTCCACATCCAATACTTAAATCGTAAATCTTCGAAGTGGCTCTGATCCAAGTGGAGACCCAAAGTGACTGGAGGAAAAATAAATCAGCAAATGACAAATACCTACAAAGTAAGTTTTCTAGTAATGAATGTGGGGGGTACCTGTACCTTCCATTTTTCACTTGGCTCTGAATACTGAATTATGACATTTACATACAGTATATGCAATCTGGATGGTAGTCATTTTCTTGTTTAAGCAAAATTTTACACAGCCCAAGCTTATGCTGTCATAATAAATACTGTCTGAGCATGGATAGTTGTTTTTGTTGTATCTTAGCTTTCTTGACTATTAAACCAGGTAAATATAATAGATTGCATTTTCTTTAGATTAAAGGAACAGCATTAGTCAATATTGAGTGTAATGAAATATGATTATCCCTTTTCAGCAAGGATAAGAAGAACAATTATTCAGTATATGGAAATTACAGAGCGTATGAGAAGCATTTTATTCAGTCAGTGCACTGCAAAGATCCCGAATTGTTCAGTGTTTGCAGGTATATTGCAAAGAGATTATTCATTGAAGGGTCATGAAATGTTAATTTGTTCAGCAGGAAAAATGAGGACACACAGATGAAAGTGGTTATTCCATCCCTATTGCCATTAAAATACAGTGATTATTCACCTTCAAGTATAATGAAAGCTTTTGTCTATGGGATAAAAATGGTTAATCCTATGACTAGACTTACATCATTTGTTATATGGAAGTGTAGTAAAGTTTATTGCACTCTAGGTATGTAACACATCTTACTAAATTAAACAGTGATACAATACAATATAAATTACGTTTGTAAAGCGCCTTTCACATTGGGAGGACATTCCAAGTCGCTGAACAGTGAGGGATTAGGACCCGAGTGGGTGGGTGGAGGTTGGGATCAGGGTGGGTGGATGGCAGAGAGGGTAGGAGGGTGGCCGAAGGTACGGTCGAAGATGAGGGTCTTGAGGTGGGTCTTGAAGGAGGCAAGGGAGGGAGCGAGGCGAAGGGAATAAGAACATAAGAAATAGGAGCAGGAGTAGGCCATTCGGCCCCTCGAGCCTGACCGGCATTTAATAAGATCATGCCAATCTGAGATGGACCCGTTTATCCCAACTCTCTGTTTTCTGCCTGTTAACCATTCTTTGATCCATGCTAATATATTATCCTTAATTCCATAAGCCCTAATCTTATGTAACAACCTTTTATGTGGCACCTTGTTGATTGCCTTCTGAAAATCTAAGCACACTATATCCACTGTTTCCCCCTATCTAACCTGCTAGTTGCATCTTCAAAAACCTCCATCTGCCATCCCAAAATGTGGGATGGAGTTCCAGAGGGTGGGGGCAGAGAAGCTGAAGACCTGACCACAGATGGTGGGGCAGGCATGGATCAGAGGCCGGAGTCTGCTGAGCAAAGGGAGCGAACAGGTGTATAAGGGGTCAGCAGGTCGGAGAGGTAGGAGGGAGCAAGGCCATGGAAGGCCTTGAAGGTGAGGTTGAGGATTTTGAATTTTGTCCTCTGCGGGATGAGGAACCAGTGCAGCCGGGCGAGGATGGGTGCAATGGGGTCATGGAGCCTGGTGCGGGAGAGGACATGAGCTGCAGAGTTCTGGATGATCTGCAGCTCATGGAGAGAAGAGTTGAGAAGGCCGACAAGCAGGGCGTTGGCATAGTCGAGGATGTAATGAAGGCATGTTTGAGGGTTTCGGTGGCCTGAGGGGTGAGGCAGTGGCGGAGTCGGGCAATGTTGCAGAAGTGGGGGCAGGCAGAGCAGGTCATGGCACGGATGTGGGGGAGAAAAGAAAGTTGAGGGTAGAATAAGATGCCTAGGTTCCTGACTGGCTTGGTGAGGTGGACTATGCATCCATGGATGCTGATGCTGCCAGTACCTGATGTTAAGGCACTGGAGTCCTGTAGCTCAGTGGTTAGAGTACTCACCTTGCAAGCGAGAGACCTGGGTTTGATTCGCAGCAGGGCGAAACCTTGGGTAAGTTTCCTTACTTCACACTCTTGATAATAATCCCTCAAGAAAAAAAATAATAAATTGGTCACTTCAATCCATGACTGTTTGTGGGACACTGCTGTGCGCAATTGGCTGTCGCGTTTCGCCCACAAATATACAGCCAATTCACTTTACAGTATATTCGGTGAAGCGCTTTGAGAAGTCTAGAAGACGTTAAAAGCGCTATATCAAATACAAGGATTACTATTATTATTAAGTCTTTGTGAGTATTATAATAATAATAATCCTTGCATTTGATATTATGCCTTATCAGATCATCAAAACATCTCAAAGTGCTTCATAGGATTTACTGTAGAACTATAGTAGCAGTAAATATATTTTACAAGTGAACAGGGCAGCCAATTTGTTTACA